CGACTTAATTTCCTATCTTCATACCATTTTTCGGCTTCTTCAGCCGCTTCTACTTTATGAATCATTTCGTCGATATATTTGGTTATCACATCCGACTTATCAATGTATCGCTTCAAATTGCATCACTGCGCAATTCAAAAGTATCACTGAACTGAATTTTCAGTGTGATGCAATTATGGTAAAGAAAAAATTTTTAAAACAATGTCAGATGCAGAAAGTTTCTCAAATCAAAAAAAAGACAACAAGGTCACGAGTAAATTCAGTCACTGAGCCTACACTAAAAGGGAGAGAAGAGCTGTGAACAATGCAAAAGGTAACTACTACTATTATACAGACTGGAGAGTAATCAAAAATTTTGCATGGAAAAAATTAAGAGACATTATGAACCTGCAAATTCTGCCTTAAAATCGAAGTCAAATATGAACTCAAACACGTGCAAATTAGATCACCAAATTTGCTTTTAGAGAAGAACAAAGGAAAGTTCATTAAAACACCGGTATCAACAGCTTATCTAACAAAGTGATAGTCTCCAAAGATGAAACTTTCAGATGAGATTAATAGAAAAATGTTCTGCATTTTCAAAAAAAATTCACTTATGCGCACTTGCATGTAATCGGATGCGTCACTTGTGCGCAATGAGTTGCACTTCAAAATGAAGCACTATGGAGGGACAATATCATCGAAATAGTGCATGCTGCTTAATCAATCTTCCGAGTGGATAATCGAAATCAAAACTTCAAAAAACACAAAAGATCGATAAAAATCTATCATTCCGAATAGTTGTAAAATCATGGCATTCGAAAAGAGGCATATCTCAGCCTCCAACTGCAGGATACGATCGGATTCAACTTTATCATATGAGTGGATGTTTTTCAATGAAGAACATATGCAATTCATCGTTTTCAATGTGTATGAGATCAACGTTTTTGATCGATAAACTTCGTCTCGTGTTCAGCTAAACGTCATTTTAAATCTCAAAATGAATGAAATTGAATAACGTACGGCTCCAAGTGTTTCTTCAAGGCGTCTTTTGACTGCTTTCAATTGAACTGTCACCTCACTCTCGGTCTCACCATCAATCACAAAAACTTCACGCATGCTTTCGGTAAGCAATCTACACGAATACCCAATGTTTATAGCTGTTTCCTATAAGGATCACAGGCTTAAATACGAATTCAACTCTACGAAAGCGAGTTCTTTAGGAATATCAAATGCATTTCAAAAAGCGAAAAATGATTTTTGAAATGAAGAACGCCTTTGCCTACAAATAACATTCAAAATTATCAACAGAGATGACTAAAAATGGTCAACTGAAAAAAAAATTTCGTCATTCGTCGTGATCGAATAACACCGAGTACTGACTTGTTTATCACCTGTCAATACCCAAATCTTAATATTCGCACTCGCTAGCTTTGCTATAGTTTCAGGTACACCATCTTGAAGTTTATCCTCGATTGCAGTTGCACCAAGTAGCGTCATGTCTTTTTCAATTTCTTCATAGATCGCATCCAGTTTCTCTTGCCGATTGAAAATCTCGAGTGCGGCTTCCTTCTGACGATTCTGAAATGAATACTTTTTAAGGTTAAACTGGATTGCAGTGATGTAGTTTTTCTTTTTTTCAGTCTTATTCTTAAGCATGATATAAACATTTTAAAATTTCGTTTCAAATACATGAAGGAAGTTTCGTAGTTCACCAACAAGAACAGCATACCCGCCAATCAGAGAAATAATCTGCGTCAAGCTTCTTATAGGCTACGCAAAGTGTTCGCAAGCCGTCTCCGGCGAATTTATCCAAATGCTGAACAGTAGCATTTCTTAGAAGTTCATTCGTATTCGGCGATATTCTGTAAAATAAAACAAATCAAAGGATAAAAACTAGAACCAACTATGTTGCAATTTCTAGCTTGATATTCCATTAAATGAAGGCGAACAATCATAAAAAGAATTGAACCTCTCTAAAATCATAGTATCAGCTCCTTTGCAATACAGCAATATCTCATCGGCACTATTTCGAACAATAACGGACATCCTTTTACGAACATTATTAAAATCGAGAATGCACAGTAATTCGTAATGCTGCAATTGTAAACATTACATATCACCAATTGTTCAGTTGCTGTTACGATAACTGCTACATCAAATGTTTCATTTCATCTTGTGCAGTATAATTGCACGGTATTTCTCCAACCCAATCATACAAGTTCCGAAAGCATTTATTGCATCCGACTGGTCAACTGATCTATTTTGAATTATCACTTCTCTGAAAACCTCCAATAAAAAATCCTTCCTCAATTTCAAAAATTTTCATCAAATATGAGCTTCTTTCGCGAGTTAAATTTACAAATGGTTAGATGCTGCTGCTATGGACCATGAGAAGAATGAATAATGCACCTCTTCGACGCCGTTAACTTCAATGGTGATTGAATTTGCAGTACGTGACTTAAAAACAAAGCCGAAATTCCTAGCTGCTGAAGTGAGAGCTGCCTCGTCTGGACTTTGGGCCTGGTATTCCAACTTGCCATTTTTACGTTCAGGCATAACTGTATGACAAAGTGCTAGAAGGCGCCAGAATTCCGCTACCTAAACATGAAATTGCCATTGAATTTCGATTTCGACATAATAATATTTCATCGTTTGCTTCATCGTTTTCTTCAGCAACAATTACGATCCAACCGAATTCACAATTTAAGATTCCGACATTCGAAATTCCCACCAAACTTCCAAATTGTTCGGTCAAAATCCGAATGCCTAAATTCCCACCCAAATTTGCTAGACTTTTCCAACCGAATGTCGGTCGGACGTTATCACCACTACCAGACATTTGCTCAGAGTTATCGCAGTTTCCCACATTCAATTCATCGACACCCTACTCAGACAAGTTTTTTGAAAGTAATGAATTAATAAAAAAGAAGTTGCTTTCCTACACTTGAAAAAAAANAAAAAAAACTTGTATTTTGAACATGCATCAATTCAATCAAATATAGACGAAATGATAAGATATAATGGCGTGAAAAGGATGAAATAATTGTTTCAAGAGTGTCAGAAAAATTCAGTTTCATCACCTCGTGCAGTCCTTTATTAATATCGTCCACTAATGTTTGATCGTAGAACTTGAAGTTCGGTTCATACCATTTGTTTTTTGAGAAGTCAATACACGGTGTTGTCTATAAGCATAATTAGGTTCTTGTAATTCAATGGAAGCCGCACTCTGTTATCAACAAATGAATAATCTACATAACGTCAGCTGCTAGAGTAAGTACCTTTAGAGGGCGTAACTTTGAGACGAGGACATTCTTCTTTTCGAACCAAATCAATTCAACTGATAAAAGAAATCATATCTAACTGAAAGAATTATCAAACGAACCTCAGTGATATCGACAAGTTCACCTCGCGCATCGTATAAATCACCATAACATCGCCCATTAATAGAACATTTATTAAATGCCATAATATTCTGTGTAAGTGTTCCAGTTTTATCGCTAAATATATATTGAACTTGGCCGAGTTCTTCATTTAGCGTAGTCGTTCTTGCACGTGCCGCTATATCGCCCTATTGATTTGAATTGCATCATTCAACAATTCATTAGTCTCATTGATGTTCATTTCGTTTGTTTATTCATTATCGGTCGTTTTCTACGCAATGCATTTTACTCATTGAAAATCATTACCGAAATCTCTGAAGCTATAGAGAAATTCACCTGCTTATAATACATCGCGCTATCAAAATTGATCCACATTGAGTGAACGAATCGAATGATTTCAACACTGAAATCAATTGAACAACTCAGAATCGTTCATTCCAAAATTCATCGATATTGAAACAAAACAAATTGACTTTTAACGAAACTAAACAAACTATTCTCTGTCGAATATTCAATCGAGCATACATAATTTTCAACAAAACTGAATGAAACTGGTCTTTCCTGAAGCCATGTGATACCGAATTTTGAACAAAAATTTGTCCCTGTTACTTAGGAGTTCATCACACAAACATCTTAAACACGCTGTCTGATTGCGATGAAGAAAAACGAACTGCATGAATTACCTAACATAAAGTGAAATAGGCACAACAGTATTGAGAAGGATAATATATGAGAAAAAATTCAGGAAAGCGATGATAGCGATTTGCTGAGAAGACTTCTCATCAGCTCTAGGCACAATTGAACGGTCCCATTCGAGATAAATCGTAAAATGACGACCCGTTGTCCACTCCCATACACCACAAAGAATTGTGCACATCAGACACATTGATATCAAGAAGAGTACTATCTGAACGATTGAAAAATATTCACTTCAGTGGGCATCAATTAGATCATAGCAATCGTTCAACCCACATCAAGAATCCAATTTTTACAGGCTCATATTTAAACTTACACCCATAATGAGAATGTTAAGGAATCGATCCAGACTGGTTCGCTTGAATTTTGTTTTTCCACTGTTCATCATCAACTTGGTCTCTCTTCCTGAAATATTGAAAAAATACTGACAATGCATTATCATAAAACTTAGTGGTAAATCAAAGAGCGCCGAAAATTCATTCACCAAAGAATGCTGTAAAGTAGTGCTAACAAAACAGTTTTCGGTAAGTAAGACGTGAAAAGAGCCTTCAGCATAAACGTTTCTAACGCGATGAAATATGTATCACATGCCTGCAAAAACAACAACTCCATAACACCATCGGGTGTTTCTAAGTACGCAGCCTCTCAGCAACATTTTGTCGTTATCAAGCGGAAGTGTAGAAGAAGAAGAAGAGAGGGTAAGTTTCCCTTCGAACTGATTCAAACGATTGTTGGGAGCCTCACACACGATTTCACCTGTCAAGCAAACTTTAGAAAATCTTGATTTATCGCTTTAATCTCATCCCAGATTTTGAAACAATCGTTTATTCAACGAAACTGTATGCTAAATAATGGGAAAAAACAAATTCTAGAAGAACTCTCAGGTTCAGTGAAAAAAAAAAAGACATTTGTTTCATTTCTACACAGCGATCGAGCAAAAGATAGCAAAGCATTAACCATAGGTTGTGATCCCTAACAACACCAGTGCCAGTTGGGTAATGGAAAACAACGAGCATCAACTAACCTCTGAAGTCACCAATGAGATTGAGCTTATCACCCATTTCATATGTTTCTGGAAGAGCTTGCCTTGCCTTCAAGTTTGTCTCACCGTCCAACTCAGCTGTTTCAACATAACATAACCCATTCGGTTCCGACGTGGAAAGTAGGAGCAGATCAGCCGGAAATCACTTTTCATACAATCTATCTCTTATTTACATCTGCTGAAGGCCTTCAATGCTGAACAGAGGCGGAAACAGAGAAAAAAGCGAAACATTTAATGATAATATCAAGATGAAAAAAAAAATACCGCCACAAATTGATCGTTTTCCATCCTGATAATGTCACCCACTTTAACGTTCATCCATTTTTCTTCAACAAGCTGCCCATTCCTTACTACGTATGACACTCGACTGTTAACTTGACTATCGCTGCGATGCCTTTGCTGCAAAAAAAANAAAAAAAATCGTCCTCATGATCATACGAAGAATGATACAATTTAGAACAATTCACGAAAAACACTTCTCATGAATAATCTGTTTAGATGGATTTCAGTAGGAACTCGAGAAAACAGTTAAAATCTGAGTATAAAGAATTGCTCTTAACACTCGACCATACCAACATCACTTAATACGGCAATTCAAATTTAATTCCGAATTTGTGAAAAACCTGAAGATTTATGAATTTGTTTGGAAAGCGTGTTATGAATATTGGCTTATGATGTATTAAATTGTTTTTTGGGAACCATTTATTGCGAAAACGCGCATATGCATGGATGACATAGTTGATGATAAGCAAGGATCAAAAGAAAAACCGTACACACTGAATAGTAGTTCCCCTAAAACGTGCTAGAATGAATAATTAAATAGCTAACTAACAATATCATCATAAGCATCTTTAGCTGCACTGAACGCCAGTACTCCGAAGAGAGGAATAGCAGTTGAATACCAAACAATAGAACTAATCCAAGGAATCAACTGCAACACATAAAGATGATGATGGAAAAAAGCATACAATAGCCTTGGCAAGTAAGAATTTCAAAATAAATGCTCGCTCCTCTAGCTACGTTTATTTTTAATACGGGTGACAAGTTCGTTTATGCAAAAAAAAAAAACTGCAAAAATCTTCTCTTGATGATTCAGAAACCGTTCAGCTAATACTAAAAGAAAGAATTCAATTGGGGCTCTTCGGAATTCACACGCATTTGAACCGCNACCTAACTCTTCTAATAATGCTTTCTTCAATTTTTTCAACTGAAATTGTAGTGATACATCCAATGAGAACCATACAGTTAAAAATACCTGTAAAACCATCAACACAAGAAAATAGAAATTGGCGAGACGCTGGAATTGTTCAAAGAGATTCTTTGGAAGAAATGTTACAACGTTGTATTTTGAGGTTTTGATGAAGTTATCCTGAAAACAATCATTACACCTATGAATGGAAATTGATCAATTCAGATTTCTAACATCATCGACGGCTCCTTAGAGTACTTTGCGACTAAAACATGCACAACTTCTCGCGGAAGAAATTGAACTAGCGTAAAAGATCTTAATGAGGCTTACCGCATATTTAAATTGTTCATTAAATTTGCGGTCATTTGCCCTGAGATGACGTTGTGTTTCGACAGCTGGTTGACTAATCCTTCTTTTGCCACGTTTTCCACTCCCACCGCCACCGCAACGTGACAACAATTCGGATATCTTCATCCGCCAATTTAGTTCCAACGGTTTTTCAGGATGCTTTACTGTCGTGTACGGTCGAACCGTTGGAAGATCAGCTGCAATTACAGACTTGTATTTTTGTGCTTCTCAATTTACTAGACGATTTTCTTGAAGTTCTACATTCCTTGCTCATAAGTCAGCAGCAAAACGATCAGTTGTGAATGTCAACTGCATATGACAAAATACGCCACCTGAGTTGTTACGGTTCGATGGTATTTCTCCAGCTTGCTTCGAAGTACTCGCAACGTTGATGTGGCCAATATCTTCCTTTAAGACCACTGAAAGAACAATAACCTCTCGCTCGATCAACTCTATTCACTTTCTTTATAAGAAGAAACTTGCTGGCTTAATCCTGCTGATAATAGCTCGTTACTCACTTTCAATTGACATGATTCATAAGGCTCTAATTTTTAGGGGATTAATTTTCAAAAATTTTTAGGCAGAATATTGGAGAGTCACAATAGTAAAGCTTAGTAGTATCTGCAGAGGTTCCTAAAAGTTTTTTAGTTAGCCTAGGACGATAAACAAGATGAACAGAATTTTAAATCATGGTCAAGGATTACATTAGCTGATTACAATTTAGGAATTCAATGGCATGCCAAATATTCTCAGATTTTGTAAGTTTAAAAAAATTTTATTTAAAGGAATGACGAGACAATAATTCAGATAAATCTTAGCTCAACGGACAAGAGATCTTATTGTTCATATTTCACGATTCATCCAATATTGAGATGTAATTAACAACATTAAAAATTCTTTTTCAATTCACACAAAAAGTTATATCTTCAAAAAATAGGTTACGTGCGAAGAGGTTGTTATGTAACTTCAAAAAAATTGGTTGAAAATATACAGTTCTTTTATTGCCAGAATCTTATTGCTTATCTTCTCGTTTTTCTTTGATCACTTTTTGTGTCATACAAAGGAGTACTGCCTTTATCAAAGAAGAATAGCTCTTCAGGGAGTTGAGTTAAGCAATTGTTTTAAAGTTTGTTTTTACGCAAATAAAATAGTTCCCAATTTGTCGCACTTCCATTTCGGACATTGTACGTCATTGGTTGATTCGAATTGAATCGAATCCTTTACCAGACTAAGAGGATTAAATTCAATCGTTTTGCTGTCGCACTTCAAAAAGACCACAAAACAAACGCTTCTGCTGAATGTTTCAGGACTAGGTCTTTAAAGGAATTCATAGGTGCACAGCACTTGTATGACTACAAATTGTGATCATGCTAACAGAAAGAACGTCAGTTAAACTTTACTGAATTGAACTGCTGAGACTGGTAATGAATGACTGCACCAAAATGAAATCTACTGAGTGTCATCTTCGGAAGACAAAGGAAAAAGCGAATGATAATGTGGCATTCAAAGAAGAAGAACAGAATGTCCCTAATGACTTTCAACGATATTGCCAAAAATCTCGAGATAATAATATTCATTCGTCATGAAGGTTGCACCAAAGCTGATAACTAAACAACCCGCATCGTCGACGACATTAGCCCGGAGTGAATAGAGCAGAAAAGAAGTGAACGATGGGTGTAGGATGAAAGCGGTTTATTTTCAATAGTATAAATTCATGAAAAACTATTGCCTGAATAAAGTACATGCATTGCCGTTAAAATTCGATATATGAATACATTTTCTAAACGATTATACACCAACCATCTCATAAGCGACAGATTTAAGCTTATCGTTTCTTTATAGAAAAATCAATTTTCACATACAATTCCACGTCACCATGAAATAAATCAGTTTTCTTCGATTTATCTTCTGGTAAGTAAGAGAAATCACTTGAACTGTAATTAACCAGTGCCATTCCAATGATCGACTGTTACTTTAGTTATGACAAATTCGGTAGAAATGATCAAACCTCATCACAGTCAAAACTGAATAACCACCTTTAGGTAAAGAATAATTAAGATCATAATCATTTCAGAGGAAAGCGCTGAAGAATAGTCAAAATGAAGCTGAGAATCATCGAAAAAAGAAACTAGCATTGGGTTGTTGAGAAGAAAAAATCAGAATGTCTGCTGTGAAAGAAATAATGAAGTTTTTTCTGAAGCAAATGTGGTCGGGTGCGTTTGGTCAGCAGAACAGACGGCAGCTGTGCGAATTCATGAAAATTTATCTGCGAAATAGAGCAAAAGAGAAATCATATCAATGATATTGTATCACAACCGCAGAATACGTTCACTATATGATGAACTGATGTTTTCATTGCATTTCCATTTGTTCACTTCTGAATGAAATTATTTCATTTTTTCTCTTAATGATACTCACAATCGGATTTCTATTGGGTTTGTTGTTTCAAACGATTCATTCTTACATAAATTAGGTGAAAAACATTCACCAAGTCATCTTACAAGACTGACTGATACGTATACAACTGCACACTATTTCCGTTCCTTTTGAAATCCAGTCAATCTTAACATTTTGTCCTCCAGCTTATGAATAATAACTAAACAGTTGACATTTTCAAAGCAGACATCACATTTAAAAACGCATTCAATGCGATGTGGCTAAGGTAGTCATAATAAAATTCTCCTTTGAAACCATCAGTGACGTATTAAAGAGCGTGAACGTGCTGAACGAAACCTACCAAGACAACGCCCGTTTTAAGAACATTAATCGCTGAAGACAATAGAATAGCAGTTTCGATCACAATCGCAGAGAAAGGACGGAGATGCAGCGATGCTATATGCTAACATAGCGTTTGAAACTGTTACTAAATTACAATGAATGAGCAGATTCAGCGAAGTTCCAAAGCAAATTTAAGACGATAACTGTATGAAAGAGTGTTAGCTATGTATAGTTCTCTTTTTGCATAAACCAGTCTTCGAATTCACAAAAACACAACCAACAATCAATATTTAGGGGAGAATCGATTGACAGCGACAATACACATTCCATATCGCTTAGTTTGCTTGATCACTGAACGTGTTCACTCATCGTAATCAGTGCATGACTGATGTTAATCATACAATTATTTGTCAATAATTGATTAAAGGTTCAATAATATTCACCATAGAAAGATACTTTTCCTCACGTGAGTGATAAGTTAACGCGCTTTATTGTAGTGCGTAAGAGAAGTTTTCATTTTTTCCAGGCACTTGTTACAGCAGTTAAAAATTCCATCATGGCATGAAATCATTTGACGCTGTTTTTTAAAGTTTTCCATTTGCATTCTCAAGAAATGTATTTGCAGAAGCAATTTTGTAGCATGCATCAACCCACAGTTATCAGAAATCGCTGACACTGTCAAATCTAAATGATTTTGAAGATATAATAACCTGATGAGAAAGTAACAGATTGGTATAAAGTCAAAGTGAAATTCATTTATGAAACTTTTACGAAATGAGGAAATCAAACGAGGTTGGCTGTGGGAAAAGACAAATAAAAATTTAGTGACGTAGAAGTGAAAATTGGGAAAACTGATGTACGGCTAGGATTGATTCGACCAATGCAATAGTTCATGAACTAAACATGAATACTTAACAAAGTTGAATGTATAATGACCATCAACAAAGTTCAGTGCAATCACTCTGAATCTGATGCAAGTTATACGAANTCTAAGCTGTGCATACAACAATAATCACCTATTCGATCATCTACATCAACTGATTATAACTTTCGCATCGCGTTTTTGATGTTTTAATAATGAATATCACATCATTTTTGCGAAAAAAAAACGATGAGCCATGAAAAGAAAGTTTTTCCTATTATTACTTTAAGACTTTATATGGTGTACCCAGATAAATCTTTTTGAATTTCATAAAGAAAATTCGATTTTGTTTTTTTTTTAAACTGAACGGTGCATTACTTTAGTGCAGCTAAGAAAAGAGACGAACAACACTCCAGATAGTTTAATGCTTCGACAAGAAGATAAAGAAGTGAATCGTTAAATGCTGAATAAGAATGCATGCTTAACTTATTTGTAGCTCAAAAGGTTACTTTTGTTCTGTACGAAAGTCGTACGACAACGTAGGATGTGATGAATACGTCATGAGTAATGCACTGCTTAAAAATTGGTAGGATGCTNAGGATGCTTTCACAATTAAAAAAATGAACGTTTATCAATGACACAATATCAATCGAGCCAATAATCAAGGAATGATTTGGTATGCTCATATCTTGTGTATGTCCTTCGACGAATAACACTTTCGTTGGGGCCGCACAGACATGAAAGTGGGTTCAGTTCATTACGCAATTTCAACAGCGTTTTTGGGCAAATTGTGAATCATCGCACACTTCATGAGAATGTCGAGTGTGACAATCAATCCGATGATCATGTTTACATACTGCTCATTCGAACTGAACGAATGAAAATGAATTGATATTGTAAAGAGCATACCACAGCTGATTGATTGGAATGAATTAAATTGTCGCGTTATTTTCAGCTTATTCAAATTCTTATTTCAGTGGTTTGTAAAACACATTGTATAAAACGATCAAACATCGATGCAATGTAGTCTGCTTTATAAAAACGCTTTAGATTAATTAGTTAGTGTGACAAAGAATTATGACTTTAGAAAAAGAGAGCTGAATCGA